TATATATATATATTTGATACGAGTTCCAAAGGGTCAACAACGTGGGGTTGGAATTCAGTCAAGATACAAGTTCTAAAGAGTCAACATGAGATCGAATCTAAGTAACAATGGGGTTGGAGCAAAGTCAAGATATGAGTACTAAAAGGTCAATAAAGTTCATAAAGGTTAACAACATGGGGTTGGGGCTAAATCACGATACGGGCTCTCCAAAGTCAACAACGTGGGGATAGAGCTAAGTCAAAATACAGGTTCGAAAAGGTCAATCACTTGGGGTTGAAACTAAGTCAAGATACGACTTTTAAAGGGCTAATAACTTGGGGTTGGAGCTAAGTCGAGATACAAGTTCCAAAGGGTCAATAACGTGGGGTTGGAACTAAGTCAAAATATATGGGTTCTAAAGGGTCAATAACGTGTGTTTGCAGCCAGGTCAATACATGGGTTCTAAAGGGTCCATAACGTGGGGTTGGAGTTAAGTCAAGATACGACTTCTAAAGGGCTTATAACGTGGGGTTGGAGCTAAGTCGAGATACAAGATCTAATGGGTCAACAATGTGGGGTTGGAGCTAAGTCAAGATGCGATTTTTAAAGGGTCAATAATGTGGGGTTGGAACTAAGTCAAGATACGACTTCTAAAGGGCTTATAACGTGGGGTTGGAGCTAAGTCGAGATACAAGATCTAACGGGTCAACAATGTGGGGTTGGAGCTAAGTCAAGATGCGATTTTTTTAAAGGGTCGATAATGTGGGGTTGGAACTAAGTCAAAATATATGGGTTCTAAAGGGTCAATAACGTGGGGTTGGAGCTAAGTCGAGATACAAGTTCTGAAGGGTCAACAATGTGGGGGTTGGACCTAAGTCAAAATATATAAAGCTAAATAATGTAGACTAAGATGATGTATGTCTCAAGGGTTGGGGAGATGAGTTCCAAACTGATGGAACAAGGTGGGAAAACGATCTTTCAGCTATTTTTTTACCTCCTTTTCTAGAAACTCTTAAAAGATACTGATCGCCTAAACTTAGTGATCTAGATGGAGCATAAATCTGGATGAGATCACTAAAATGTGAGGGAAATTTGTTATTGTCACTTTAAATTTTATGACATCATTTTGCAATTTTATATGGGTTCTAAAGGGTGTGTTACGTGGGGTTGGGGCTAAGTCAAGACATGAGTTCTAAAGGGTCAACAACGTGGGGTTGGAGCTAAGTCAAGATACAACTTTTAAAGGGCTAATAACGTGCTGTTGGAACTAAGTCAAGATACAAGTTCTAAAGAGTCAACAACGTGGGGTTGGAGCTAAGTCAAGATATGAGTTTTACAGGGTCAACAACGTTGGTTGGAATCTTATTCAAGAAACAAGTTGTAAAGGATCAACAACATGGGGTTGGAGCTAACAATGTTATTGTTAACAAAGAAGATTTGAAAAATTAAAGTCTAGTGGGTTCACAATAAGCCTTCGGCACTATGTCAAGAATATGTGATCTAAAGGGTCATCAATGAGGAGTCAGAGAAAGTAAAACTGAATAGTATATTCACATTGGCTGTTGAAGCATTCTTTCTTCTTCCTTGTTCTTAATGACAGCAGCTAGACAGTCAGTCCGATGTCGCGCACAAACTGTGCAGTCTGCTTTAAATCTGAGAGACTGCCATAGAGCTTTCTCTCAAGAGGAGTCACATTCTGCCTCATCTGTGTACGAAGGGTGGCGTAGCGCGGGCAGTGCTGAAGGATATGGTTGGCATCCTCTTAGCCGTGTCCACATTCGCAGATCGCGGACTCTCCCACTTTTAATTTAGTGTTCATATGTTGTTTGAGTCTATTGTGGCCACAACGGAGTCGAAAGATTGTGACTTGGTCTGCTCTATTTAGCATGTAGTAGGGGTCGCATCTGTTGGGATTAGGGTGGGATCTTTTCCTTCTGTTTCTTTTGGCAGATTTTATTACCGTTTTTGACTCAGAGATCCATGCCATCCTCAATCTGGGTCATTGTGGTTCCTTCTTTGGCTAAGTCGTCTGCTTTTTCATTTCTATGAATGCCACAGTGACCAGGAATCCACTGCAGAATTGCGTTGGCTTGGGAGTTTAGATCACATAGGAGTGAAAGGTGTCGTATTTTGGCTTTTGTAGAGCTTGTAGGACAGATTTGTCATCTTTGATGATGACGGTGTTGGCTTTAGATTTTTGATGATTAAAGAGAATTGTTGCTGCTGTTTCGAGTGCTGATGTTTCTGCTTTATGGTTGAAAAATAGAGATCCTGTGGGGTTGGAATGCTTCTCTGTTGACTCATCTATCCACTCTATGTAGATACATCCACCGCTGTTTCTGAATTCCACCGGTTGCTTGGGAATTTCCTATCCAGGAAGTCAAGTGTCAGTAACTTGAGTATTGGAGGAGGGACTGCAGATTTGGTGCCAAGCTCTTCTAGGTTTTCTCGAATTTGAAGAGGGGGATTAGTCTGAAGAGGGTGGACATGACATGGGTCGAGCGGGGTTGGAGATTCTTCAAAGAGAGATTTCGAGTCCAGAGCTGGAGTGTCTGGCCATACGGAGGACGCTTCTTTTTAAACGTTGAAGGATGTCTTTTTTTAATGGTCAACAAGCTTTTGAATAAGTATCTATTTCGTAGCACTATAAAAAAAGCTTTCTACTCCAGTCCTGAGCGTGGCACTCGAGGAAGAGGAAGAGAAAGAGGAACAGGAAGAGGAACAGGAACAGGAACAGGAACAGGAACAGGAACAGGAACAGGAACATGACCAGGAAGAGGAACAGGAACAGGAACAGGAACAAGAACAGGAAGAGGAAGAGGAAGAGGAAGAGGAGGAGGAGGAGGAGGAGGAGGAGGAGGAGGAAGAGGAAGAGGAAGAGAAAGAGGAAAAGGAAGAGGAAGAGGAAGAGGAAGAGGGAGAAGAAGAAGAGGAAATGTCTGCCAAGGTTTGATGACTTCCAAAACTATAATATCCTTGGAAAATACAACTTTACATTTGCATGCCCTTATGCAATGGTTTTTAGTCCTTTTTAATCCATACATTAATCTACTTAGACAAACATAAAAGGCGTTGAGCCCAGAAAAAAAGTCGATAAAACTAACTGCCAAACGGGGTAAAAATAAATTATATGTTGATTTTTTTTTTCGATTTCATAATTTTGATGAGCGCCTGATTTCACCGCAATGCCTCACATTATATCCTCTTTATGTTTCTGTAATTTCGCTTTTCAATGTGAATTTGTTGAGTGCAGACGTCAAGGCGTAAACGTTACTTTTTAAAATCATTGAATAAGCGTCCAGTACTGCAGTTAGTTTAGAGGGGTAAATTACAATGTACATTAATATAAACATCATTGCCTTCTTTCTCCTATTTGAGTCAAATGGTCACTTATAAATCAATGTCAGTAAGTTTGTTTTGCCCGAAACAGGTCATGTTCCACAATAACAATAGAGTCTACATGAATGAATGCGAAAAAAAAAGGATGAACTGCAAAATGAAAAGAGTATACAGAGAACATAATAAACAAATAAAGCAGTAAAGAAAGTAAGAAGAAATGACAGAATGAACGAAATCCACTCCCCCCCCCAAAAAAAATTTGAATTAAAGAAATCCTTATCATTATTCAGTAAGGTTCGAATGTCGAGTTCTTGATGGATTTTTAACCCCGACGCGATCATCACCTACGTTCGTCAGGAATCAATTAGCCAATCCAAACACCCGGAGTATTATTGGATCTATAGTAGTAGCAGTCAACACCCGACCCAGCAACGTGATTAATGCGGGTAAACAGAAAGTTTGAAAACACTCAGGCCGGTGGGGCTGCTTGTTCAGTGTGGTGGTCGCTGTAATCGTTGTACTATTATTACATGTTTGTTTAGTATAGGGTTTTACGGCGCTCGCAACTGCATAAGGTCATATGAGCGCGCGGGACACACCTAATACTTTTTCGTTGGTAGGAAATTTTGAATTTTGCCCGGGTGGCGGCCGAAGCCTACTCTTATCGATTTTAGACCACCAAGGGATCTTTAATGTGCGCAACTTGCACACGGGCCCTCCGAGATTTTTCGCCCTTGTCCGAGAAGGCTAGGTGTAGATCTTTCCTACCAGAAGATCAGGGGTGTGGCAGAAAGACAGCAGTTAGGAGGAGCCAAGGAGTAGCAGTAGAAAGGCTGCAGAAAGAGTCAGGAGCCCAGAGGAGGGGACAAAGGAGGTGAGGGGGTGGGGGCAGAAAGTGGAAATGAAAGCAGACAACAGAACATTGTTAGAGATCAGGAAAGGATGTGAAAGGAGACAATTTTAGAGAAGAAAATTTTTTGGTCGCTACCCGGAATCGAACCTGGGACCCTTGAATGAGAGGCCAACACCTTAACCTCTAGGCCACGAGAGCCCCCACTATTATTACAGCTGCAATGGAAACACTCACTACCGCCGAAACCATGGCCTGGATACAATAGGAGGGACTTCGTGACGCTTCGTCATTCTCTCCAACTCTGATGTGGACAGGACTGTTGAATGTTGTTTGCATTTGGACCAGTCTCGGTTCAGGAGCTTGATGGCTGGAATTATCATCCAGGTCCACCCAGGTCTTCCAATGACAAAATATTTCGTTTAGGTTAGTATCATTTACTAGTAAGGTCTGTGTTAAAATGACTTTCATTTCTTCTAGGATCACTGTTACGCTTTACAAGAAGCTGTCGTGACGTCAGCCGCGAGGATATGATATTCCTGGAAAGAAGAAGAATAGTTTCTTCGTTCTTAGGAAGCTTTAAACTTGCCGTAACGCTGATTAAAGAGATGTCAACGATTGCCAAGGCTCAGAGGAACGTAAAAGGTGGACGAAATACGGGTGAATTGGCGTATTGACCTATTTCTAATGTGGTGATCAATACAGATTTTCCCTACACTTGTTTATACCAGCACTAGATCAATTAAAGAACAAAAGATGGGAGTGAGGTTTCATAATGGCTGTTTTTTCACCCACTTTGAGAGATACGGCAACATTCCAAAAGCAACAGCTGCAGCACTACCTAGCATCGGCAGTGCTTGCTAATAATTTCTCTCAACCTGCGGAATTTTTTCGAAGACTGATGAAGTTTGTTGAAAAGTTTGGACTGTTATTGTGTTTTCTCTCATTTGTAAGTGTTGTAATGTGTTTTATGTTTCCCAGTTTTCAGAAAATAACGTTAAGCACTTCGTCTATGTTGTTGCTTTTGTTAAGTTCTAATGTTTTTGTGTCCACCATCCGAAACATTTTAGTGTATTCAATCGCTAATTACATTTGGCTTTTTTCTTTCTTTATTATTTAGACTAGTTAAAATTGCAGGAAACTATGGCATCTCAAAATTTTTTAAAATAATATATTAGTCAGTCTTTTCCTAAAACGTTTGCTATTGCATTCGATGCATCAAAACGTTGACAGAAGTATACATTTTATCACATCTCACAGACATTGATTTAAAACGTCCTTAGGTGTCGCATGCAAGAATACTGTTAGTGCAAATAATTCTTCCACCATATTTTGTATTACCTCGAGTCCAAATTCTTCGTTGCCAGGACAAGCCAACTTAAACACGCATAATATTATTGGCAAAATCGTGAGGTGGGGGTAAATGGGCCTGGAACAGCCGGGGAACTTTCATAATAAAGGGTTAAATGGGAGTGTGATACATTCAAGCAGCACTGTATGATAATATTATAATAGTTTAACGGCAAAGCAAATACATCTAATGAATGGCAAGGACACGACACATATTATTTCTTTTAGGTGAAGTGAAACATGTTCTACATTCGTGAAAAGGTCACGATTGATACGATTACTGCATCTCAGGCTCACTTGGATTCTGTGTCTGTCTTTGATATAAAGCAATACTATGTGTACCAGGATAAGAAAAGTGAAAGTGCAGATGCATTTTTTAATGGATGAGAATTCAAAATAATAAATATGATCCCCGTAAGCAAATATATGAGCTTATTTGCTCTCTTTTCAATGCCACCCCTGTGGTATGAACTACTCGCACCGACATTCATGGTGTAATAGTAATAGTTAATTTCGTCACTGGCTCGTGCAGAGGACGAGTGCTCGATTCTCTCTTGGTGAGTTAACTTATTTAGGGTATCAGTCTCTCTGCCAGTATGCTGTTGTATCCCACTCAGCTCGGGACGACTCTGACTGACAGGGTCAATGCAGCTACCTTTGAGTTGTTCTCAATTATGCCGATGAGGGCGCAAAACATTTTCCAGGATTGATTTAGGAAAAATCTAAATATACACGACTAATAAACAGAAAAATAGTAAAGGATACTTCAAATGGTGAGTGATGTCACAATGTGTGTCACATACTTCAACATAATAGTTTCTGTCATTACTGGCTACGGTTACCTCGAACACGATATTTCTTTTTCGCCTATGACTTTTTTTAACGTTTCATTTGGATTTTTTTTTGTATTCGCAAAAAGGCTACAGAGATTCTAACAAGGAACAATAACATTCAAAGTGGACCACACGTTATTTGAAAAGGCAAACATCATGAGACAGTTCCAGATATCAAGAAAACAGCCCCGACAGCAGAACATGGAGAATTCTGCTTCAGAGGAACCAGCAAACGATATCCGAGCTTCGCTGTCTCCAGTAATCCTGTGTTTGAAAATATTCGGCTTGTATCATGAGGCTAGTGACCAAAGGAACTTTGTGGAACCCTCAACCACGGAGATAACCAGCATTCATAATTTCGTCTCTTCAACGACGAACCTCCGTCCAGAGACATCAAGATCAAACAAACTTTCGCGAAGGATTCCAAGATGTCGGATAAATTTTTCCTACGGTCGGATTCAGTGCGCAGTGGTGTTTCTTCTTCTTTTTTCTAATATGGTGCGTTTCTGCGAGCAGTCTGTTTACGCTAACAAGTTCGAGCTGCCTTTTAGATTACTCACTATTATGTGGTATGCTCAAACTACCAGTGCAAGCGCGTGTCTTCTCTGGAGCTGCTGGAAAAGGTCACACTTATCGTAAGTTCATGTCTACTTTTTTGCTATGTTACCCCTATGATACCCCTATGTTATCTTTATTATGCCTATCTTGTTCTTTTTACATGGTCTGGTAATCGTTGTTTGGTCAGTGTGCTTACATTCACTCACAGCAAATCTTTTATAAAAATCAGAGTAATTAACATAATTGGCTTTTGAGTACATGCATGATGAAAGATGTTTCCCTACTTGACTAATACTATACTTGTAAAAAAGTTGGTGCATTAAATTAGGAAGCTGTGTCAGATCTAACTTTTTGACAACATTTAAAAGAACTTAATTCTCAGAAAAAGTAGTTGAAAACCTTTCTAAAGAACAGTTTCAGATTATGATAATTTCCAGGCAAAATATGAGTCTAAATTTGAAAATTTGGATGGCTTGTGTCAAAGACTTGATAATTTTACTGTTAGCATTTGAACATTTTCGATGTGTCTTTATTTCTTTGTGCTGCCTTTCACCCTCTCTCTCTCTCTCTCTCTCTCTCTCTCTCTCTCTCT